TGAGGACCTAGGCAGCAGGACCTGGGTGTCCAGCTGGAGGTTGACTACCTGCCTGTAGTGACCTAGCTAGGTCTCAAGATGTAATGCTCCATTGTACTTGGAGTAAAACAAATACTGACAGGACTGTAAATTCCAACCAGATAGTAGACATAAGTCACCCTAAAAATTCCACTGGGAATTTAATCCCAGCACTTGGGAGACAGAGGCAGGTGGATCTCTGTGAGTCTGAAGCTAGCATGGTCTACAAAGTGAGTTCCAGGACAGCTAGGACTGTTACACAGAGTAATCCTGCCTCAAAATAATAATAATAATAAAAAATCCATACACACAAAACACTCATTAAAATGATTAATAAAATAATGACAGTGAAATGAATACAGCTCATTTTGATGTTGTGCCTCCCCGGTACTGGGATTAATCACATGTGTCACCACTGCCAGGCCTGGGGCACAACAAGCCCTGTCAATAGATCTCATCATTAATATCAATTCTTTTGTTACAATTCCATCCTCATAAGTAAGATTTCCTTACATGGAAGTTTCTCACAACATTAAGAATTGGGAAATTCCCAGTAGCATACACTATGTATACATTAGCACCCCCACCCCCAGTATTAATAATTAGAACTCAGGGGCCTAGGGCATGCTATGCAAGCAATGAACCTCTCAGCTATTTCCATTGTACTGCATGGGTTAACATAATCCTTTGATTATAAATCGCCCATCATAATTTTATTGCATAAAATCTACAACAAATTAATGGGACCTAAATTTTAAGAAGACAGTAAGTATCTAGAAAAGGTAAAAATCAAGGAAATGGGAAACATCCCCCATAAGAAAAGGAAAACATTTCTATGTTGTGTGCTAAATTTGAGTCTCAGTTTGGCGAAATGTGGTCAAAAGGACGCTAAACCCTCTAGTACACAGAGTGGACCAAACTCGCGGCAGCCATCTTTTGTGGGGACTTTATCACTGAGAGGTGTTTTTTTTTTTTTGTTTGTTTGTTTTTTCCAGCCAGTAAGGGCTGGAGACAAGCACTCTAGATGCCTCCTGGAGCACCAATGCCATCATGAGCTTGCAGTTTCAAAACTCACAACACCACTGAGCTTCCTTTCCCATGATTGTTGGCCATCGCCATCACGGGAAGATGGCGATTACAGAAACTACAACTGTGGATGCCTACTTGGGCTTCTTGACTTCTCCTGAGGCCCCAGCATAAGCAAGGTCTGTAGAAATTTCTCACTAGAACCTGGAGAGTCAGACAACTTCCTGCCCTAGGACACTAGCTAATGGATTCAAATTGCAATTTGAGCAGCATAAAACCCCACCCCTGCACTTCCTCTTCCTGGACCTCAGCACAGCTGTGCACTTGTCTCTCCATCAATAGGGTGCTTTCTCATCAAAGATGGATAATGAGGCGCCCAGAGAGGACCAACAGTTGCCTGCACATGGTGACGCCATAAATCTGGACAGGCCTTCATCCTGGACAGAACCAGAAGACCAGTCACTCCCTAGTGCAGTCTTGGGGTGCTTGGGTCCTGCTGCTGGGCCCTGAAACAAGAGTTAGCAGGCTTTCCTCTGCTCTTACTGCACTAGGAGTCTTGTGTCCTTCATGGACTCTGACCTTAGAGAAAAATTTTCATAGACATTTTTTAAAATTTTTACTCATATTTTTGCTTCCTTTTCAATACTTTTTAAAAATTTTTACACTGGTTGTGATATTTTTCTTTGGCCCCCATCTCTTCTCTCTCCGTCTCTCTCTCTCCCTCTCTCCCCGTCCTCTTTCAATGGAAAGATTCTCCCAGAATTTCCACATCGACCTAAAACTGATGCATATCCTACACCATCTCTTAGACTAGCAGCCTAATCAGTGCTCTTCCTGGCCTCTCCTAGCTGGAGGATAGAGTCCTCCTGTCCTGGTCCTTGTCTGTTTTTAAGGTCCTGTTTGTCTGCACACATTTATTGTGTGTGTGTGTGTGTGTGTGTGTGTGTCTGTGTGTGTGAGTGTCTGTGTGTTTGGTGATGGGGCTGACACCACATCCTAAGGGGGATCAGAGAACAAGTGTAGCACTGAGGCCACTCCTTCCATTGTTTGCATCCTAGAGATCCAACTCAGGACTTCAGGCTAGCCTGCTCTAAGATCTCCAGCAGGCCCACTGTCTAATACTTGGGAAGGCTTGAGACATCTTTAAAACAAACTGTAATCCTGGCATGTGCAGTGGGAGCACTTTGCCTATCCAGGAAGAGGCTCTAAGTATTTCCCCATCACAGCAACCAGAGGAAGCATCTTAACTGACACAGAGAACTCAGCTACTTGTAAATGTAAGATCAAAGAAACTTAGAAGCCTGGGGAGGACAAGAGTCCCACTTCTCTTGAAAATCCACTGCTCTGCATGGGTCAGCATCAGGGAAGACTCTGATAGCAGGTCTTTGTTGTGTGCAAATTATGACAAACACTGCCAGACTTTTAAGGAAACCTTAAGAATGTGGGATGCGTGGAAAATGAACAGTTAAAGAAAAGGAAATGAAAATATCCCTCAGTTATAACCATTACCCTTCATGTGTTCACTTCTAAATCTCACAGCACATATTTATTGTGTAAAAATTACAAGAAATAAAAGTTTTCAAAATTTTAAATAACACTAGGCAGCTGGACAGAGTGAAAATGAACAAAAGGGGAAATGTCCACTAAAACAGAAGGAAAAGAGTCCTATGACATTGGCTACAGTTAGGCCTCAGATTGGTATCACGTACAAAGAGACA